CCGATGATCAAGAGACTCCCCAACGGACTAGAACCAATCAGGTAACAAACCAAACCCCTTTCCCTTTTTATTTCGGTTTAAATTCTAAAATTAAAAATTTGATTCTGGAAACGAAATTGAAGAAAAGAACCTTGAAATGTTTTTTCCCTTCTATTGATTGCTCTGTTTCAAATAGGGAAAGACCGACCCTTTTACATATTTTCGGTGCGGGTTTTATAGAACTCCTCAAGATTACAAAAAACTGAAAATGGAAAAGCTTTTTTTTTTCTACCGACTTTCTTCCTTTTTGTTCTGTTTTTTCTTGGTTTGCTTGTTGGCAACTGATCTAGTAGGGAGAGGCTCGGTTCGTGGAAATAGTGATGGCCAGTGAGGTAGAGATAGTAGGAATAACCGGGGAATGGGTACCAACATGGGATGCACCAGTTGGGAATTGAATACCCTATATTTTATGGGATTTATGTCCCTACTCTGGTTATATATATATATATATATGTATGGGGGCAAAATTGTTGAGATAATATAAGTGTGATTTTTTAATTCTCAATATAATCCAACCTGTGGATTAATTCCCCATCTAAGGTGAATTGTACAGTACCAACTTAAAGACGTTAGGTGTTCCACGTGCCTTTAAGTTAAATATGAATACTCGACGATTGCATGGCGTCTTCAGGCAAATGAAGAAGACCCCACGACTGCATGGCATCTTCAGGAAAATGGAGAATACCCCAGGAGTGCACGGCGTCTTCAAACCAATAAGAAGTCCTACTTTAGGAAATAATATGATGGATGCCTTATATGAGAAATAATATGGTGGATGCCTTATATGAGAAATTTATTTTTCCCACAACCCTATATAGGCAAGGAAGCCATATGAAGAGGCTCGGTTGGTGGAAACAATGATGGTAGTAAGTTAGAGATGGTAGGAACAATTAGGGCATGGGTACTAACATGGGATACACCTGTTGGGGCATTGAATGCCCCAGATTTTATGGAATTTATGTCTTTACTTTGGTTCTTTCTTTATATATATATATACACACACAAACGGGTGAAAAAATGATGATTACAATAGTCACTTCCATGATCAGCAATGCATCCAAATTTATCTTCAAATCCCCAAGAAAGGGTTTCAGTGGCCATGGTCATGTCAAGAGGAAACCATAAAACTTAGGAAGAATATGTTGGAAAAAGGGTGAATTTAATTGATGGATTTAATATTTATAAAATTTATATTCTTTTTTATTATTGTAAATTAAAAGATAATTTTAATTTGAATATTAGTAGGATAATTATTCTTTGAATATGTCAATTTAAAAAGCTATATATTATCTTTTTTTTTAATATTAAAGACAATTATATACTTTTGTATTTTTTAAATTGAAGTAATATCTATTTATGTTTGAATGGTAAAAGAAGTTTATATTTTGAATATTTCAAATTAAACTATATTATTATATGTTTAAAGTTTAATGTTAAAGATATCTGGTTGGATTAAAACTTTCTTGAAAATCTAATATAAATAGTGAGTTAATTTGTTAGGTTAAAAAAGTTAAACAAAATTCAATAAGTTTTTGATAAGTTCAAAAAGAAGAAATTTTTTTCTCTTTCACTAATTTTTCGGTGATAGTCGAACGTAAGGATAGTTCGTGATCTCAACTGTTTTGCTACTGTAGCTGATCATCTAGTTGTTATATCATATGAGACAGATTACCAACGAATTTGACCACCAAAGGAGTGAACAAAAATCTATCTTAAGGAAATTGTGTAGCGATATGCCTCAGTTGTTTCTGATCACAATATCAAAATAAAAAAATATATTTTTCTTTCTATTTAATTTTGATTTATTTTAAGAAGTTTAACTTCTTTGTTTGATTTTCTCAAGTTTGATTTTGTCTCAGATTGTTATTTCGACTAATAATTTCAAGACAGAGTAAACTCATTTAGTCCCTTTGATTTTATAATGATATTTAATTATTATTTTTCCTATATTATTATCAGATTAATGTAATTCTTCTAAAAAAGAAGATCAAGGTATGATGCTCTCCAAAAATCTTTCTTTTCATCATTTTATAACTCCTCTACCCAAGTGCCCGATAATACCATTAGCGTAAATAATTGTACAAAACAATTAGAATTAAAAGCCAGCTCATTGTCTATCATTAGCTCCAAGAAACTCTATGACAACTTGTAAATGCAACGATATTCCTAGATGTAGTCCTAAAATACTTTTGCAATGACATGAAATGTTAAAGAATAATGAGTTGCAATTATTCTATGAAGCAATGACATGAAATGTTACACATTGACGCTAAAATGAATGAAATTAGAACAAAATAATCAATAAGAAGGGGTTAAACACATGTTCATTTAAATACTGTCCGACAATCACTACAAGAAAATATACCTTTAATGACACACGCTAATTTATGACTTGCAAAACATGTGTGTCATAAAAAAATGTCATGTTTTTTAAAATCTGAATGATTTATGACTTACAATAATGTGTGTCATATTTAATAGTCATAATCCAAAAAATTTACAAAAACACATAGTACAATTTTAATTGTAAAAGTCGTCTTTTAATTCCCCCCTTATTTTCATCCTTTCCCGCTTCTTCCCCGACATACATGTTTGTCCAAATCTCTCATCTCAAAAAATAAAAAAATATACCAAGAAAAATCAGATGTTCATCGAATCTCTTATGAATCATTTGTTTTCTCAATGGCAGAGGAGGCCGACGGATGTTCATCGTCGGATAGAGGAGGAGAGATCAAAAGAGCAGTCAGGCTCGATGGATTCGTTGGAATCTCGTTGGGTGTTTCCAGGCGAAGACGAATCTGAGATCGAGGAAGATAATACAGTTATGTCGTATGGAGTTGGAGTAGATTCCGAAGACAAGGATAGTCCGGTGTAGCGTTTGATTCGTACCAAACCGCGCGTTGATTCTTTCGACGTTGAAGCTCTCGAAGTCCATAGCGCGCATAGAAGTGACTACGAGGTATATTTTTCTTGTTTCATGATGCTAATGTAATAAATCAATCCTTTGTTTGTAATCTTGAAAAATCGAATATGTTTGGAATCTAACTTTATCGCGTTGAGGCATACCTTTTTTAATGTGCTTTAATTTTGCAGCTTACTTTTATGTGTATACTTGACTTTTGATCTCAGGACTTTGGTATAGGAAGGATAATAATACATGCGTTTCAGATTCTTGGTGTTGTATTTGGTGATGTTGGAACAAGTCCTTTATATACATTTAGTTTGATGTTTAGCAAGGCACCTATCAACGAAGATGAAGATGTTATTGGAGAACTATCACTGGTTCTATACACTCTACTTGTGATTCCGCTTGTCAAATATGTCCTTATCGTTCTTTGGGCTAATGATGGCGGTGAAGGTATGCCAGATGTTCCTCAATCCCAATCAAGTCCTTGTTTATGATCTTTTATGCAAGCCTTAAACAAATATGTTAAATATTAATTCCATGTCAACTGTTTGACATCTTTTGTTGTTGTATTTTATGATATTTCATTCTTTTATGTAGGCATTAAACAAATATGTTAAGTATATATTCCTTGTCAACTGTTTTACATCATTTATTGCTGCTTTTTTCTTGAAGGTGGTACTTTTGCATTTGTACTCATTGATTTCTCAGCATGCTAAGGTCAGTCTTCTCCTGAATCTGGTTCCATCAGATACCCCAATATCTGTCTTCATGCTAAAGGTGCTGTCTCCTGAGCTCGAGAGATCACTTAAAATAAAGGAGAGACTTGAGACTCGATTGACTCTGAACAAACTTCTTCTGATGTTAGTGCTTGCTGGCACTTCTATGGTAATAGCTTATGAGGTTGTTACTCCAGCAATGTCAAGTTTTTATGTGTTACTATTCTTTCATCTCTTTTGTTTACGGAATCATGCTATGGTAGAATACAACATAACTGTTTTATTAAATCTATTTTCATTTTTAATTTTAGATGATAACTTTTGCATTTTTATTTGTAGTTATATCTTCTGTTGGTGGTCTGAAGGTTGGAGATGGTGCAATTGAATAAAGTAAGCTGTTATTCCATGTTGTTATCAACTCTATAAAACATTATTGCTTTGTTGACTCACATTTCACTGTTTGTTAGTAAATACTGTTAGAGAGGACATTCCTGTTTCTAATTGACCTTTTTGGCTAGGAATCTTTTGCATAATTTAACTTGTATGTTATTGAAAATTATTTGTTATTTTGAATATATCATGCGATGGTTATTAACCTGTAGATCTCATAGTTTGATCATGAGTCTACAGTTCTTCATTGTTTTTCTGCAGCTGCCATTTTCGCGATCATGTGTTGTTTGTAATGATAGTTTAACTTTAGTCAGACTAGAGTTTCCAGTCTAGCTAAATGTTAAATTTTTTTGTATTAGAAGCAATATGGCCTTTTTTCTTTTTCCTTCCCTCATTTACATGCTATGGTTTATGTTCCTTTATGATTTTCTATATTATTACAGGTAAATAGTCATTAACTATTGTGTTTCCTTATTTGTTTTCTTTATTTGCAGATGAAGTGGTGATGATATCGATTGCCTTTCTTGTAATTTTGTTCAGTGTACAGAAGTTTGGAACAATTCAAGTAGGACTTGTTGTAGGCCCTGCTTTGTTCATATGGTTTTGTTCTTTAGCAGGCATTGGAATTTACAATCTTGTTAAGCATGATGCAAGTGTCTTGAGGGCATTTAATCCTGTTCACGTCTATTTATACTTCAAGAGAAACTCAGCTATGCGCTTGGAGGTTGTCTTGTATGTGCAACAGGTAAACACATTGATAAAGATATCATGTGCTTCAAAACTTGCACTTCAGTTGCAAGTGTGGAGAGAGCTAGTAAAAGAATATCTTGATGTTGTAATCTAATTTTTACACTAATTTTCGGTTAAACTTTGTCAGGTAACCATCTTCTAGTAAAAGATCACTGAACTATTGACTTGATTCTAATTTTTACACTAATTTTTCTCTAGGGGCTCGTAGCTTGCAAAATCTAATCAGGTAACCATCTTCTTGTTTTCTTTTATTATTTCATGTGAATTTAGTGTTTCACCCCTTTGGACTTAAGTTTAGATATGGATTGAATAATTTCCAGACTTACATGCATATTGCTTGTTCAGGATGCAATGAGAAACATATTAATCGTATTTTCCAAGTTAAATCCGGGCATAAGATATGTTCAAGGAATGAATGAAATCTTGGCACCTCTATTTTATGTATTTAAGAATGACCCTGATGTGGAAATGGCGGTAAGATCTCATTATTGTCCCCACCCAGTTCTTTTTTATTAAATCTCTAACTTGCAATTGTTTTGATTTTCATGTATTGAATATGAAAGGAGGTTTCCATGATTTTCTTGTTTCTGTTTGCAACTCCATTGCATCAAATCCATCTCTTTTCTTACCCCAAGATACCCAAAAAGTTTAAACAAAAACAATAACTTTCAAATAGATTACAGCTTTTAAAAATAGTACGGTAATGTTCATTTATCATTATTGTTATCAACTTGGCGGACATATATATATATATATATCATATGCACCAAATATGGAGTATCTATGCCAACATATAGCCATAGACCAATTACAATTTTAGTAAGAATAACATGAAGCTGACACATTATTTTGTTTTGTTGAGTTATTGAGTGGATTCCGTGATCATTTCTGCCAGCAACTTGACAACAACAATGTGAGAATTCGTTCCACAATTTCTAGGTTGTCACAACTTCTAAAGGAACATGATGAAGAGCTTTGGCGTCATCTAGAGATCACAAATAAAGTAAGATATTGTTGCAAAATTTAAACATCTTTTATATATTGACTCATGCTTGCCTCTTACCTGCAAAAGTTTGAACACTTTCACCTTTGTCGTTTTCTGCAACTTGTCAAGGTAATTAGTTGGGCTTGAATGCTAACTGATATGTTTAAATATCACAAAGGTCAACCCCCAGTTTTACGCATTCAGGTGGATTACTTTTCTCTTGACATATGAATTCAACTTTGCGGACAGTCTCCACATATGAGACACGCTTCTTAGTGACCCTGAAGGCCCTTTGGTATGATTGCAATTTTTATCTCACTCAAAAGTTAGGAGTTTTCACCCAACCCTGATATCAATAGATTTTAATCCAATCCATCACTCAACAACCCCAAAATTCTAAATAAAAAGCCCAACCCTCCCTGTCCCAACCCCAAACAAATCAATACAAACTTTAAATTGTTGTATAAAATTAATTATAAAAGAAAAAATATGTATTCTTTTTTTTCAATCAAATAGTGGCGTTGAGCGATTCAAACGACAATTTGCACATTTGGAGGAGCATTATGGTAAAGGTGAAAGAAGTACTCCACTTCTAAGACATCATGCTTCTTTGCCTAGGTATGCTTCATAAAATTTTAAGAATCATGTTAGTTCCATAATTTCTCCCCCAAACTTAGTTTTTCTAGTTCATGTGTCATATTTCAATTTGCATGAATATCATCTTTACAGAGAGCGAGTTCTTGCTCCCAAGGATGAGAATGATCAAGTTGCTGAAATACAAGTTGCAAAAGCACTCGAAGCTAGGATATGGTATATGGCTACTGTTTGATCATTATCACACTCCATTGGATCAGATATGCAGAAGGTATGAATTGAAACTTGGGAGAATTGTATTGCACTTAGTAGTTCTCTAACTTATCAAAGTTCTGCAGAATCTTAACTAGTTAACAGACTTAATAGTATGCAATGAATCTTCCAAGTTGTGTTCTTTTTGCTAGGTAGACAAGGTGTGAATTTGTCTATTGTCGGCTTTACACCACATAAGATGTACAAGTATGGAGCAAATAGTGAAACTGATGATATGTTGGAATACCATGCTACTTTTGATTTTTCACAAGACTCCCCTTTAGTAGAACTTGATGATGATTTCTTGTGTAAACGCCCGGATGGTGATGGCATATTTGTAGAACTTTATTATGCCGTGATATTTTGTATCGACATATGATTACAATATTTTTTATAACTTAATGTGAATATATTGTATGCAAATGGATTGCTTATATATAATATGATATATATATTTAGTATTATGAGGCATTAAATGTGATTTAGTTTAATTATTTGTCAATCTAATATATATATATATATATATAATTTACGAAATACAATCACGACCCATGAATGGGTGTCATCTTTTTTAATGACGGGGGCTTCAATGACGCGCAATGTAAGTCATACATGCATGTCATAAATTTATGACGCACAAATGTGTGTCATCTTAATTTATGACGGGGGCTTCAATGACACTCAATGAACATCATTAATGAGCGTCATAAATGTGTGTCATAAATGCGCGTCATAGATTTATGACAGTTTCACGTCATCTGAAATTCATGTCGGTGGCTTCAACGACAGGCAAATGTGTGTCATCCGCACTCATAGATGACGCGCATTGCGCGTCATTAAAGGGTTTTTTCTACTAGTGAATAAACAGAAAGCCAACTTCATTGTTCTGAGTTTATAGTTGGCGTTATTAGAAGCATAACAATTCTAAACGATAAAAATAAAAATAAAAATATTTTATTATATAATAGAAAAGAATAGTATAGAAATAAATACACAATTTTTATGGAACAATCGATTGGAAATTAATTGAGGCATGAACAATGCAGTTTCCTTAAGACAAATTTTCGGTCACTCCTTGGTGCTTGAGATATTTGGTCATCTATCTCCCAGGTTACAATAACGAGATGATCAGTGCATAGAAGCACAACTATCGAGATCACAAACTACTCCTTGCCTTCGTCTATCACCGAAAAAACTAAAGGAAATAAAATTTTTTGAATAGATTTTTAGATGCTTGGATGTGTTTAACCTAGTAGGTTTACACGGTAATTATAGGGATTTCACATTGTGAACAATTGGAAAATTTTGACCTAATGAAGCATTAATGAGAATCAAGCAATTAAGCAGTTTTCAAAATTATTGTTTTGATTAAAGGAACCTTTTAATCGATTGGAAAATTATGTCCTTAAAGCCATGAACATAGTCTAGTTCTCCAAGAATTTGAAAGAACTACACCCAATAGTCTCCTTGAAGTGACACCACTTCACTCTCGTATAGGTGACTTATGTTGCACGGTTCACCAAAACACACAACGTTCATTAAAAGCTTTCCTTAGCCTATACCAATTTGATCACTATTTACATCATAGGAACATAGTTGGGATAAAAACCCCACAGTGGCTGCACACGGTTTATGCAATTAGGTTACCCCTTTGAACCTAAATATTGAGATCTCCAGTCAATTAGGTAGGTTTTCCTTCACATAACACCTTTAATTTTCCATGGCCTTTGGTCCCATTCCTTTAGATGTTTCCTCAACTTGATCTCAATTTAACCCTTTGATTAGTGGATTATTATCATTTGATCTTACAAAATCAATAGAGATAACTCCCTTTGAGATCAATTCTCTAATGTAATTGTGCCGATGATGCATATATTTCTACTTATCATTATACATAAAGTTATGTTCTCTATCAATTTCGTTTATTTTCAGTATATGAATATTGTGGGCACACACTTTGGTCTTTTAAGAATATCCTCCAATAAATTCTAAAGTTATTTAGCTTATTCTCTAGACTTGTCTAGAGCTACAATTATAGATTTCACTGTGGATCTAGTTATAACAATTTTCTTGAAAATTTTCATGACACGACTCATCTTTCCAATTTGAAACATATTCACTTGTGTCTTTGATATCTTAAATATAAGATATTCTACTAGCATAGTAGTGTCCTTATGGAATAATGCAATTCACGATCTTGAGCATATCTAAAATATCTCAATTCTCTTACAACTGTTTTTAAAAGATTAACCTTGAATAGCATGTGAGTCTGCTTAAGGAAAGCAATATCCAGTCTAAGACAATTTATTTAGACATTTTACAACCATTGCATATTCCATTTGGTAAATTTTTTTAACCTTTGTTTTTGGAAAAATGTTGGCTCATATTCATTTAAGTTCTAGCTATGTCATAAACATCCTCGTCAAAGATATCTTGTCCATGTATTGTGAATTCATCAATATGAGACTGTAACACCCCCAACTCGTACCCGACCCGAATAAGAATCCAAGGTGTCACATTGCCTTGTACAAACTTTTATTCTTTGAAAACTCAAGGAAAATTAAAACTTTTACTTGTATTTAAATGGTGAAACCATTATAACAAAGTTAATATTGAAAATTCATAATTCACAATGAAAATAAATATTTGATAATTTACATAAATGTAAAATAGTTTGTTTACAAAACTGATCAGAGCATTACAATTTAAAAATCTTATGATACATGCCAAAAAAATTACAAAATGATAAGAAACCTACTGTTCAAATTATTCTTATATGATCTTCTTTAAGTGTATGCTATCCTTTCCTAGCATTGCTCCTTCCATCTCTTAGAACCTACGTGTGAAACAATCACACGCTAAGTCGTAGACTTAGTGAGGCAATAATAAGTATACTAAAACATATAAAAAATACTTGCTTATTCAATCCATATAAAACATTTCATACTAAAACCAACATACTTTTTTATGAAAATAACATCAACTGTTACTCATTATTCAATTTATATCACTTTATTATTTTAGCCCAACACATATTACTGAGAACTCAAGGTATCTGAGTATATTGAGGTTTTGCATTAAATACAATCACCACTGCTCATATAATTTGCACCGAAGTGCCACATAGATTTGTCCCGAAGGACCACGTAGAATTTGTCCTGAATGACCACGTAGAATTATCCCGAAGGAGCATAGAACCCTTGACTCTTGGCATGCCTACTATACCTCTAATTCTCATACATATACTTTGGGCTTTAACCATGTAATTATTTTTCAGGTCATTATTCAAAGTGTGTTTTATCCATGTAGAGCACATTCACATAGGGTATTTTCACGTAGAATATTTTCACTTAGTACATTTCACATAGAACATTTTCATATAAAACATATTCATATCTCTCATCACATACTAGTAAAAATCATAACCATGCATTCATAAATATAATTTATGTAAAACATTAAAAAATATTGCATAAATAAATAAAATATTTTTGATCAAAAACTTCGAGGTTGGCTTATTGCAAGTCGTCCTTATATCTACTATAAAATAAATAACTTGCAGTCACCTTTGGCTCACATAAGTCGAAAATAAAATCCTTTTTCTTTCGTTCAATCTCGTACTATGTCGATTCTTTCGATACGCTTATGATCCAAATCTACACATAGAAATGTCCAATATCAATACCACATTTCCATTAATGGGTAACCAATTATCACTTACATAAACGAAACAAAAACTTCCTAATTTAATTTTCAGACTGAATATTACCGGTACCCTCCTACAGTACCAATACTTCTCTTCTAAGGTACCGATACCCACTTCAGTATTGATACCATTTTGGCATTCTGGAATTCCATTTTCAATTGTAGTATCGATACCTTACTCCTTGTATTGATACCTCCACATCAGTATTGATACTACTTCAATTAGTATCAATATTGTTCAACTGATTCATACTATTTCTTTCAATTTAACCCTATTGTATCGATACTGTTCTTCTAGTACTGATACCCTTATCCAGATTTTACCTCTTTCACAATTTTATCCACACTTCACCTAAATCTTAATCTTTTAGCTCCAATCAAACACTTAAACTTACTAATATTTGCCTCACACAACTTATATCCATTAATCCTCTTTTAATATCCCAAATTCTCTATAGAATACTTAAGCTAAAATTATACTCATCAATCAAACATGTTCTTAATCCTTTCTAACACTTCAAAAATCTTAATTAAACCCTTGACAAGTCAAATATATAATTAGAACTCCAAATACTAATCAATCTTATCAAATCTCTTAAAAAGTCATTTTCCTAATTTATCCTTAATTCACAAAATCTCTTAGTTTCTATTCATCTTAAAGCTTCTTTAAGTTTCTATACCACCCATGAACCAAAAAACAACTCAAAATGAAAGAAATAATCAACTTGAAACATATCTCACCTTACCAATGGAGTCACGGTGGAAGAGAAGAAGAAGAAGAGAAGAAAACCAAGCTTCCATAAATATATTCCCTTTACTTATCCTCACATGTTAAATAACTTTAAAAAATGAGTTTTAAATTTATTTCTTGATAAAAGACCACAATGTCCTTCCACTCTTCAATCTTTGCTAATAAGTCATAGACACAAATTTCCAAAATTAGTCATTAAACTTTTCAATTTATCAAATTTAACCACTAAATTTTAAATCCTTAAATTTCAGTCACTGACCCGATGTTTTGGGTATTACAATTCTCCCCTTAAGAAAATTCATCCTTGAATTTTCACTATACAAAGAGATGAGGAAATTGTCTTCTCATGTTATCTTCACGCTCTCATGTTGTATTTTGTACTTTGTGATTTCTCCAGAGAATTTTAACTAACAGAATCGTTTTGTTCTTTAATTATTTGACTTCATATACTAAAATATGCATTGCTTCCTACTTATAGGTCATGTCAGATTGAACTTCTATTTATTCTAGTGATATAATGTGCGAAGGGACTGATCGATATCTCCTGAGCATCGAAAAATGAAAGATATTACGGATCTTTTTCATTTCTGATGGCAATGCTAACTGATATGCCACTGGTCCAACTATTTTTAAGATCTCATAAGGTCCAATGAATCTCGGACTGAGTTTTCCTTTGAGTCCAAAATGATGAATCTTTTTCCAAGGCGATACTTTTAGAAACACTTTATCACCTAGTTGGAATTCAATTTCCTTTCTCTTCAAATATGCATAAGACATCTGTTGATCAACAACTATCTTAAGATTATCTTGAATAATCTTCACTTTTTCTTCGACTTCTTTAATCAAATCTGACTGCACTAAATCTCGATCTTTTAATTCAAACCAATTTAATGGTGTTTGACATTTTTTCCAAATAAAGCTTCGTAGGGCGCCATCTTGATACTCGATTGATAACTATTGTTATAGAAAAATTCTACGAGCGGCAAATACTTCTCCCACGATCCATGGAATTCAATTACACATGCCCTTAACACGTCTTCTAGAACTTGAATCATCCGTTCAAATTGACCATCGGTCTGTGGGTGAAAAGCCTTGCTAAAGTTCAATCGGGTACCCAATGCTCCATGTAAAGACTTTTAAAACCTTGAAGTGAACCTTAGATCCCTATCAGATACTATTGAAACTGGGACTCCATGAAGTCAAACTATCTCCTTGATGTATAATTTCACATACTTATCCGTTAAAAATCAGCTCAAACAGGAATAAAATGCGTGTTCTTTTTTAATCTGTCGACAATTACCCAGATTGAATATATTTTTGTTTGGTGACAACGGTAAACCCATTACGAAATCCATTATAATTATAGGTTATGCGATAGATAAGGATAATTAGTTAGTATTTTAATATAATACTAACTCTTTGAAATAAGTCGTTTAGTTTAAATTAAATACTTGTTCTCACCTACTGTATATATTTATTAAACTTGTAACCTGTTTTAAAAGAATATACGACAGTGAAGTTTTTCACTTTTCCTTACCTTTGTCATTTAATTTATTCTCCACTTAATTCCTTTTACTTCACTTTACATTAGCCCTATTTTCAATATGGTATCAGTTAGGCGACTGATCCTTCACCTAAATCTAGCCGATTCATCAGGTAACCTGACAGGTTCTCACGTCTCCCTGTGCCAATCTCCATTAATGTCCAGTGTTGCTGCCATGCTTATTCCTAAATCGTAACAGTGAAAGCAACATCTGTTACTCTTAGATCCGACCGTTGCAGCAGGTTGGCGTGCACTCCTTTTGTCGCCATCTTGGCCATCTAATGCACAGGATCTCCAGACTCCCTGGTCGTAAACAGCCCATCCACGTTTCACACCTAATTTTATAGGATTTCCCCAACACCCTTGGTCTTCATCCGGAAACCAATTCTTCGGTAATCAAGGAGCTTTGCAATATGACTTGAGAAGGCTAGGTTTTCCATGTATGGATAATAACAACAGTCACGTGATCCAGAACCTGATCCTGCAGCAAAAGCATCAGGAACAAAAGCTCCTCTTTTTTTCTTTGCCTAGTGATATTAAAATGCTGCAAAAGCCTATTGATAGTAAGTCTTCAAAACAGTATCAACAACGTGATACTGAAGGAAATTGTGTTGTGAATACTGATTTACAAGGAAGTTCGTTTACTAAAAAATAAATGGAAGAGTTGCAGCAGTTTTTTAGTCAGTTAAACACTCATTCCCAATCAGTACCTACAGGTAGAATTCCTTCTGCTACTTTGGCTAATACATCTACCACTCCTACTTGAATTGTGGATTCTGGTGAAAGTGATCATATGACATGTGATATTAAGCTCTTTCACACTTTTCATGCCAACTTGTCTATCTCTCATATTCGAACAGCTGATGGTTCTCTATATGGTGTTGCCAGTCATGGGTCTATTCAAATAATTCAAGACATTTTGTTATCTCATGTTCTTTATGTTCCCAATCTCACTTGCAATCTTATCTCCATTAGCAAGTTGTCTGTCGATTTATGTTGTACCATGAAATTTAAATTTGATTTTTATGAATTTCAGGATTCCAGCTCGGGGAAAGTGATTGGCAGTGCTAGGCTTTGTGGGGGTATTTACCTACTTCCAGAAACTTTATTTTCCCACCCATCTACTTCCTTCAATGTTATACACCAATCTCCTTTACTTGAACCTTCAACCGATGTTATGCTATTGCATTTTCGGCTAGGACATCCCAATTTCTTTTATCTTGCAAAATTGTTTCAACATTTGTTTGTTAATAAAAGTCCAAAATCTTTTTCTTGTGATATTTGTCCACTTACTAAACAAACTAAGAGTGTTTATCTACCTTCTCTATATAAACCTTCCAAACCATTTACCATGATCCATAGTGATATTTCTTGGGTCACATCTTTATATGGGTTTCGGTGGTTTATTTCATTTATTGATGATCACACTCGTACTACCTGGACCTTTCTCATGAAAACTAAATCTGAAGCTTGTGAAATATTTAAACGGTTCCATAAGATGGTTGAAACCCAAATTCAATGTTCAATCCAAATGTTTCATTCTGACAATGGTAGTGAGTATTTTGCCAATGTTTTGGGTTTTTTCTTCCAGGAAACGGGGATGTTCATCTTACCTCGTGTTTCAATTCTCCTCAACAAAATGAGATTGTTGAGCGGAAAAACAAGCATATTCTTGAGGTTACTTGGTCTCTACTTTTTTACACAAATGTTCCTAACTATTTTTTTGGGGGAAGCCCTTTTAACTACCACTTATTTGATTAACCGTCTCCCTAGTAAACCATTACAATTTAAGTGTTTGAGAGATGTTTTTCTTTAGTTTTTCCCAATTTTAAACCGATGACTTCATTGTACCCCTTAGAGATTTTGGTTGTACTATGTTCGTTCATAACAATGTTCCTTTCAGGTCTAAATTAGATCCTCGAGCATTTTAGTGTGTGTTTCTAGGTTATTCATCGACTCAAAAGGGCTTTCAGTGTTATTATCCTCGTACTAAGAAATTCTTTATTACTATGGATGTTACTTTCATTGAAAAAACACCTTTCTTCCTTAAAACTGTTATTCAGGGGGAGTCATATAACGAATATCAGTTTGTTGACATACAACAATTGTCACTTGATTTGCAGCCAACTCTTTTTGATCAACCTGTATCGTCAAACCAGTTAAACCAGTCAAATAAGCCTACAAAATCGCTACAGCCAGACCAAACAACACTACCGAATCCAGAAAACGTATCCTTCCCAAACTAGTCCGCCGAAACACATTTACCTAGGCATGATCAACATATCACTTCACGTCAAATACCTCAATCTGAGTTGTAGATTTACAAGAGATGACAAAAACGTATTTCTAAATCAATCCCTGACCCTAATCCTGATTCTCCCACACAGCATGGACACTGTCATGAACCAGAACCGAACAAGAATGCTTTGGAGAATGAAGAAGGTAATAAGAGTTCTTCCACTGAATTAAATGATTTAATTGATGATAATGACTTACCGATTGCTCAAAGAAAAGGAGTAAGAAAATGCAGAAATTATCCAATTGAGAGATTTATTGCATACGGAAAGCTAACATCTTGTTTTAAGAACTTTACAGCAAGTGGAGATAGCATTACTGTTCTAGATACGGTTGAAGAAGCATTGAAAGATCCCAAGTGGAAAAAGGCAGTAGAAGAGGAATTAAAAGCACTGAAAAACAATAATACTTGGATTATAGTTGATCTTCCGAAAGATAAAAAACCAGTCGGCTGCAAATGGGTATTCATGGAAAAATACAAAGCTGATGGTAGCATTGAAAGATATAAGGTGAAAGGATTCATTCAATCTTTTGGAGTTGATTATCATGAAACGTTTACTCCGGTAGAAAAACTAAACACTGTGAGAGTGTTATTATCATTAGTAGTTAATGAGAATTTGGTGCTTCATCATTTAAACATCAAAAACGCATTTCTAAACAGAAAATTAGAGGAGGAAGTATATATGCGAATTCCATCGGGTGTGAAGAGTAATACAAGGAAAGCATGTAGATTAATAAATTCCTTGTATGGACTTAAACAATCTCCAAGCTACTGGTTTGACATAATTACAAATGTGATTATTCAGGATAGTTACAAGCAATGTCAGTCGGATCACACTTTATTAGTCAAAACAGCTTCAAACAACAAAAAAGACAATTTTGATTGTCTATGTGGATGATATCATTCTAACAGGTGATGATTGTATGGAGATAGAAAGATTAAAAAGCTACTGGCGAAGGAGGTCGAAACTAAAGACTTGGGAACTTTGCGGTATTTTTAGGCATGGAGGTTGCAAGGTCAAAAGAAGGAATAATGATCAACCAAAAGAAATATATCCTTGATCTACTATCAGAAACTGGAATGAAGGGATGTAAGCTAGTAGAAACACCCATGGAGGCAAATATTTAGCTAAAGAGAAAAGAATTGAGAAGTCCTGTGAACAAAGAACATTATCAAAAGTTAGTAGGTAAACTAATTTATTTATCACTTACTATACCTGATATTGTGTTCCCTGTCAGTATTGTGAGTCAATATATGAATGATCCAAGAGAAGAACATTTAGAGGATGTGAATAGAATTCTAAGATACTTGAAAATGACACCAGGACATGGGTTAATTTTTAGAAAGAGTGATTATAGAACAATAAGAATTTTTTTCGGATTTAAGTTGGGTAGGTGAATTAATGGATAAAAGATCTATAACTGGTTATTGTTCATTCGTTTGGGGAAATCTGGTTGCTTGGAGAAGTAAAAAACAGATGGTGGTGTCTCGAAGTAGTGCAGAAGCAGAATTTAGAGCAATGTCACTTGGAATTTGCGAAGGAATTTGGCTTCAAAGAATGTTAATTGAGATGTGGTTATGTTCCAATAAGTGGTTTGAACTTCAAAGTGACAATAAATCTGCAATAAGTATAGCAAAGAATCCAGTTCATCATGACCGAACGAAGCATGTGGAAATTAACAAACATTTCATCTTTGAAAAGGTGAATGGTGGAACGGTGAAAATTATGTTTCAACGAAGAATTAGTTAGCAGATATTCTCACCAAAGCATTTCCAAGAATTACCTTTGATGAGATTATATCCAAGTTGGGTCTTTTCAACATTTACTCCCCAACTTGAGGGGAAGTGTAGGTTATGCGATAGATAAGGATAATTAGTTAGTATTTTAATATAACACTAACTCTTTGAACGTTAGATAAATAAGGATAACTACTAAGTAGTTTAGTTTAAATTAAATACTTGTTCTCACCTACTGTATATATTTATTAAACTTGTAACTTGTTTTAGAAGAATATACGACAGTGAAGTTTTTCACTTTTCCTTACCTTTGTCATTTAATTTATTCACCACTTAATTCCTTTTACTTCACTTTACAAGAGCCCTATTTTCAACAATAACTCTTTCCAATTTCCATTGAGTAATAGAGATTGGTTACAATAGTCCTAAATTCACTTGATGTTCAGCTTTCACTTGTTGGCAGGTTAAACACTTTGCAACAAACTCTGTAGTAGCTCTTTTCATGCCTAGACACAAATATCTCCATTTTAAGTCTTGAAACATATTATTCCCTCCTGGATGCTTAGTCAACAGACTACAATGAGCTTTAGCAAATATATCTCTTTTCAATTCTTCATCATTAGGAATATAAACTCGGTCTATGTAATATAAGCATCCACTTGACTTTATTTCAAAATCCTTGATTCCACCTTTCTCCAATTGTCTCAATCTTGTTAAAAATTTATCATCTCTCCTTTGTGACTTTTTTATTCACTCTAACAATAGAGGTCTTAGCTTTAATTCAGCCATAATAGCACCATTGTACTTTAACATAAGTCGGGAGTCTAATATACTTAAATCTGTAATAGTCTTTCGGCTAAGTGCATCAGTTACATCGTTAGCTTTCTCAGGGAAATAATTATGATTGCATCACATTCTTTAAGTAGCTCGATCCATCTCCTATGTCTCAAATAAATCTCCTTTTGAGTCAACAAGTACTTCAAACTTTTGTGATTCGTGTAAATGTAACAACGCTCACCATATAAATAGTGGCGCCAAATATTTGGGGCAAACACCACCATTGTTAACTCAAGATCATGCGTCGGATAATTCTTCTCATATTACTTAAGTTGTCTCGAGGCATAGGTGACTACTTTTCTATCTTGTATTAAAACACATCCCAGACCATTATGAGAAGTGTCGTTATAGATAGTATAATCCTTGGTCGATTCTGGTTGCACTAGCACCGGAGCTTCCGTTAGTACCTTCTTTAAGGATTCAAAACTCTATTGGCATTTATCCGCCCAATTGAATGGCACATATTTCCTTAATAGCTTTGTCAAAGGGGAAGAAATCATTGAAAATTCCTTAACAAACCTTCGATAATATCCAGCCAATCCTAAGAAACTCCTTACTTAAGAAACATATCTTGGAACTTCCCAATCCATTATAGCCTTAATATTATGAGGATCCATAAAGCTTCTTGTGTCGAAGTGTTTGAAGAATCACTCAAAGATAGGCGTCATGCTCCTCATTTGTCTTTGAATACACCAAAATGTCATCAATGACGAGGTACGATTGAACCACTTTATTCATGAGGTCCATAAACGCTGCCAGTGCATTAGATAATCCAAACGGTGTTACTACAAATTAATAATGTTCACACCGAGTCCTAAAAGTTATTTTTGAAATATATTTTTCTTGTATCTTCAACTGATGATAGCCAGACCGTAAATCAATTTTGGAAAACACCGCAGTTCCTTTGAGTTGATCAAATAAATCGTCGATTCTTGGGAGAGGATACTTATTCTTTATTGTCACTTTGTTGAGCTATCGATAATCAATATAGAGACGCATCAAACCATCTTTATTCTTTACAAATAGCACTGAAGCACCCCAAGGTGACACACTAGGTCTGATAAATTCTTTATCTAATAACTCTTGCAACTGAGCCTTTAACTCACTCGGTTCCTTTGGGGCCATTCTATAAGAAGCCATCGAAATTGGTGTTGTTCTAGGCATTACCTCAATTTGAGACTCAACCTCTCTATATGGAGGTAATCCTAGTAACTCAGGCAGAAATACGTCTGGAAATTCTCAGACCATCAGAATGTCTTCCAGTCCACTCTCCTTAACTCGAGTATCGATCACATTTGCGATGAAAGCTTGACATCCTTGTAACATTATCTTCTTGGCCGACATTATTGATATCACATTAGCTAATGGATTAAATCTTTCGCTATGCATAATTACTTGTGATCCATCAGAACTTCTCAAAACTACTTGCTTCAATCGACAATCGACATTGGCATGGTAACGATACAACCAACCCTTTCCCAAAATAACTTCAAAATCCTCAAATGGTAATTCCATCAGATTAGAAGGGAATTCAATTTCATGAATCCTTATGGAACACCCTCGACATAATTTATTCACCTGAGCACTATGCCCTAACGGGTTAGTCACAATCACATCATTACTTATAGCTTCTAATTGGATTTTCAATTCTCTCACCAATTGACTACTAATATAAGAATAAGTTTATCTCAGGTCAATCAAAACTGAAACAGGTTTATCAACTAACTGAACAGTATGTATAATGATCTCAGGATCATCACGATCTTCATTTGTCTTTAAGTTGTAGACCCGAGGAATCGAGCGTATTTCAGGCTGGAAGGCCAACTCATATTGATTTCTTCCTCTGCCTCGTCCTCTACCTCTCTGAGGTATAGTATCAGATCTATAAGTTTGTGCAAGCTTTCCGATCATCAATGGGCAATCCCAAATAAAATGTCCTATGTCTCAACATCTAAAACATGCTCCGAAGACCATTCGACATATGCCACTAAGATATTTTCCACAATACTGACATTGACTTGGCCTTTTCACTCATGATTCAGTAGATTGAGTTTTCTTAACTCTCACCGAGTTTGATCCTCTACCTGAGGATGTAGCTAATTCAGATTTAGATTGAGGACAAAAACCCGAACCTTGACTTTTATTCGATTGTGATGCACTTGAGGAGGCACCCGTTCTCTTGTTCCACTAGGTCTTCTTCTTACCATATCTTTCATTTTAAGCTCCCTGTAAGGCTTTAGCTCGATTTACCACCTCTTGAAATGTGGAAAAGTTGAGCGCTAACAATATCTCCTTCAATATGGGTTGTAAATCGTCTACGAACCACAATCACATGAGTCTTTTTTCGTAGGGACCAATTCAACTACAAATATGCTTAACTTATTAAACTTGCACTCGTACTCATACATTGTGTGATTCCCATATTTAAAATTCATGAATTCTTGTTTCATTTGGCGAATGAATTGATCACCAATATACTTGTTCTTAAACTCTTCCATGAAGAACAACCACGTTACTTGGTCCCTAGGAGCTTTCATCGTCACGTTAGTCCACCATATCCATGTTTTTCCTCGTAGTAATAAGACTACTCGATTCAACTTCTCCATTTCAGAATAATGGAGACCTTCCAGCATAATCTTAACGTAGTTTAACCAAAGATCCGCAGCAACGAGACCTTTCTCAACTTCTTCTCTAAATTATGGTGCTCTTAGGATCTTAAGATCCTTTTCCACATTCAACCTAGGAGCTGAGAGAGCAGACGGTTGAAAACGCGTCAGAATCGCGTCCAACGTCTGGAAAAAGATCCCCTGATCTTGTACAGGCACTCCTTGAGGTGCATGTTCTTCACCTTGCCTAACTGGGCAGGTGAATTGCTACTTTCCACATTACCATATCCTCCTTCACTTCGAGATCCCTCGTAGCCCGACATCTATTAAGATACAATCACTAACACTATTAGAATGGATAACATACAATTTACCCTATCATATCAAAAAAAATTAACCTTTTGTTGGCATGTACACTTTTTAAAACATAAATTACTTCATTTCAAACTTAAAATCAATTAAATCATAGCTCTGATACCAATAAATGTAACAACGCCAACCCGTACCAACCCAGATACGAATCCAATGTGTCACATTGCCTTTTCAAAACTTTTATTCATTGAAAACTCATGGAAAATTCAAACTTTTACTTGAATTTAAATTGTGAAACCCTTATAACAAAGTTAATATTGAAAATTCATAATTCACAATGAAAAGAAATACTTGATAATTTACATAAATGTAAAATAATATGTGTTTACAAAACAAATCATAGCATTACAATTTAAAAATCTTATGATACATGCCAACAAAATTACGAAATAATAAGAAACCTACTGTTCAAATTATTATGATTTGATCTTCTTCACGTGTATGTTATCCTTTCCTAGCTTTTTTTATCCGATCTCTTAGACTACGTGTGAAACAATCACACGCTAAGTCATTGACTTAATGAGGCAATAATGACTATACTAAAACATTTAAAAATACTTGGTTATTAAATGCATATAAAATATTTCATACTAAAATCAAGATACATTTTATGAAAATAACATCTATTGTTACTCATTATTCAATTTTTATCACTTTATTATTTTAGCCCAACGCATATTACTGAGATCTCAAGGTATCTGAGTAAATTGAGGTTATGCACTAAATGCAGTCACGACTGCTCATATAATTTGCATCGAAGTGACATGTAGAATATGCACCGAAGTACCATATAGATTTGTCTCGAAGGACTACGTAGAATTTATCCTGAAGGACCACTTAGAGTTATCCTGAAGGACCGCATAGAACCCTCGACTCTTGGTATGCCAACTGTACCTTTAATTCTCATACATATACTTTGGGCTTTAACCATGTATTATTTTTCATGTCATTATTCAA